TTTTTGGACTATGTGGGAGGAAGCCGGAGAACCCAGCGAGAACCCACACTGCATGGGGAGAACATGCAAACTCCACGCAGAAAGATCCCGGGTGTCCTCACCAGGATGCGAACTGGCGACCTTCTTGCTGCGAGGAAACGGTGCTAACCACCACTAGCCCTCCAATGTAACTTTAAAATAGAATTCTTGAGATGACAGATATAAATTGAAGTAGCTGAGTGTGGATTGAACTACAACTCCAAAGTGTTAGCAAATACACAAGTTTCAGCTGGTCAAACGCCTTACCATTTTGTTGGTACACTAGCTGTGGGGTGCTGGGTGCAGAAGCCTTTAAAAAAAAAAAAAAAAAAAAGGAAAGATTACTACAGAGATATGAAGCATTGGCATCAATTTAATGGAAACTTAAAAGGTTTTCCCAACCAGGAAAAAACTGGACCTCAGATATAAATTTAGTTAGATCAAAACGTAAGGCTGGTATTTTTGGCAGCACTGCATCCAAAATCATCTTGAGAGTGCTGTCAGGATGATGTACCCAAGGCAGCGACACTGGAAGACAGATTGCATCATTGCAACTCCAAACTGTCAACAGTTCTTTTCTCACCTCTGTTCGCAGTATACTAGCTCCTTCATTCTGTTTGGGGCTGCATCCCTGGTCAGAGTTCCTCTCACCCTCTGTGTCCTCACTCAGCATGTCCTCAGCCTTGTCCACAATGTCCTTCAGCTGCTCAATGAAGACCTCTTTTTCCAGAGGCAGAATGAAATCATTCTCAACCTAAAGAAATTAAAGGTCTTATCTTAACAAGTAATATTTAACATGCGAGTAGTTATGCCATTAAATATTCATCCGTCTATCTATAAATATGCCCAATATGAGTAGTTGGCATTGGAGGAGAGAGAAAGAGCAAGACAGATGAGGAATTTTTTGCTGCATTGCAGCTGAAAATAGCAAACAGGGAGTTTCAGGGTTCTGAAGCCAGAAGAACGCATCTTGGACCATGCATATCTTAATGACACTATGAAAACTTTTTGCCTCAAGTGAATTTGCAGCAACTTTGCCTCCTACATACCATGTATGTAGCAATCTCTTCGGGTGCATCTCCATCGAGGTCAAATTTGAATGTGACCATTTTATGGTTATGAGTTTCCAGCTGGCACTCTACCATTTTATCCCCAGTGTTACACACCTGCAAAAAGAGCAAACACAATACATACATTGTCTGGTGTTAGATTCTTTTAACATGGGCTTAAATCCTTGCTGGAATATATTTTTTCTACTTACATTGAGCATGCTGAGCTTTGGTCTACTAATCTTCTCTTGCCGAGAACGAGTGCGTGTGGACCTGCGGTGGTGTTTGCGGACTTTACTGTCACCTTTACCTCCATGTATCCCTTCATAACCATCGCTCATTTCCTTTCCTGATGTAGCATCAGAGTTGACACTGGTTTTGGGGATGAAAAGCATTTAAAATAATCAGTACAAATATATTGTCATTTACTAAATACACAGCACTGCATTAGAGGTTTTCATGATTCCAATGCATCCAACTGACCAGCAACATACATGCACACAAAGTTTTGATAAATAACCATAAATTACCTTCTGAAATTTAAAACATAAGAAGCTTTATTATCACACAATAAAGATTTCATAATGGGAACGGGAAGAGGTTAAAGGTCTTTACTGCCTCTCTTTAACTTAAGCTTATGAAAAGATTTTGTCAAATTTACCCTGCAAGCTGCTCTGGAATGCCTGCAGGATTTGGCAGAAATCTAATTTATCAGCTATGGGTGACACTAAACTCAACATGAGCTTAAAGGGGATATAGATCTGTAGGGGATTAGCTATCAGTTATCTATTATGAAATAAGTTCTTTTGCTGGTTACAATGCCATGAGTAATTAACAGATGCGATTAAAGTGTTAATCTGACTGCACTCCAGTTTTACAAACATGTTTGTGTCTATCTGAAAGGCTGTCCTTTTGTCATATTACACAACAAATAAAATGCAAGCAGGACCATAAAAAGGGGGGTGGGAAGAGTCTTTGCCTTGGGAGGTTTAAATCAAAACAGCAAAAGCAATGTAGCCAACCAGTGGTTACAAGTCGCACTTTTCAGAGGTTTGGTGTTGCTACTATACTATCAGTGTAAACAACAGACCTTTAAAATATCTTAAGTTTGGGCAAATATAGGTTCAAAGATTATTAAAAACCACATGCTTTATGTCAACATTCATGTCACTGTTTATCAGGCAGGATGTTCCACCAGGGATTAGTGCACATTTAACAGCCCCTAAGACTGGCTGAGTTTACTCTGATTAAATATGCATTCTTAAAATCGCAATCACCAACTTGTCACCTGCAAAGATAGCTAAGGGGAAAAAAACTAGTACCTGTCATAGCTATGTCCTCCAGTCTGTTTCTCCGCACCTTGATCCTACAGATAACAAATGCACAGATAAACAACTAAAGAAAATAGTGGAATAATGGAAAGTATTAGATGTACCAGACATTTAATATGAGATATTTTGAAAGTGAATTGAAGAGAAATACATCACATTAGCCTGGTAGCTATGTTAACAAAAACTAACAGAGAAAGAATATGTAGTAAGAACTTAAAAAGTGTTTAACTGAATAGTGTGTCCATACCTCAGTGTTTATCTCTGTTGGAGCCTGACCTGCAGCTCCTGCGTGAGTACTGAGCGGTTTCTGCTGAGTCAAACTGGAACTGGCAGACCCAGACGATGTTCTCTGAGAATCAGAGGACTGCAGCACAGGAACTTGGCTTTGAACCTGACTCTGGGGCTGGGCCTGTGGGGGCAGCTGGCATGGGCTTACGTTGTCCAGCTGGGAAGCCGTTGTGGCTGTGCCCATTTCTGTCCCGTTCAGCACAGGTGAGGAAAAGGTTGTGGGTTGTGTAAGCTTAGCAGGCTGGGCTGGTTCAGTGCAGGAGACAAGCTCAGGATGGCTGTTCTGGGCCAGTTGAGGAACCTGCTATAAAAGAAACACAAGATAACACATTTGTATTACAAATGTCCGTAATGAAATAACAGTGGCACATTCTAAATCCTTTGCAGGCATTTAGAGATATTTAAATGTGTACACGGCCATTGTGTATTTTCTTGATAAGAATTCCTTCCAAACTATTCTACAGGACTTCCATCTCTGAAGTATTTGCAATAGCTTGTATAAGCAAAGACTTCTCCCATTTTTTTCTTCCAGAAAATTTGATTAATATGAGTGTAACATATTCAAACATTCATTATTTTCTCCACAGCTACTCTAAAACAAAGAATTTTGTGATGCAAAACATGTAAAAACCATCTAACAGAGATGATCACAATCACATGTTTACCTTCAGTAAAACCACCCTTCATATACACACACTTCAATTTCAGTTCACACCTCCTTGGTAAACATATGTGCTCCATTGCAGCTGTTATAATTACCTGTATCAGAGTGCTGCCATTTGTGGTAGGGTGTGTGTTCTGACACGGGGCAGTGTGTGTGTGTATGGGGTGGGAGGTTAATGCTGATATAAATGCAGGTTGTGCATGAGAAGCCTCAACCCTAGCACTCTGCTGCAGAACAGCAGGGGGTTGGTGCTGTGGGGATATGGGTTCCACTTTTCCCAGCACAAGTGAGGGGGAAGGTATGAGGGACACTGGGATGGGTGAAACTAATGTGTTCTCAATGTGCAGGGGAGAGAGGGGAGAGACAGACGGAGTTACAGGGAGAGCATGTCCGGGGGAAAGGAAGATGTGATTAAGAGAAGAGGAGATTGAAGGTTGAGGAGCAGTGCAGGAGTGAGGGTAGGAGGATTCATAGTCAGTCACAGCTGGCATCACCTGGACTGTGGGATACTGTGAAGGACACTGAGGGGAAAAGAAAAAAAGCAAGAAACAGGAAAAAATCAAATAGTCTAGAGGAAAAAAAGGTTCAAACATAGGAGGAAGATGCACCAAAACAACTTGCTTCAAGTCAATATTGTTATTGGTCTTTAAATGTAATGCAGGTTACAAAAAGAGAGACTCACAAAAACTCACACATGAAAAAAAGAAGGGGTTCTATACAGATAAGACATTTGTGAAAGTAGAGAAAACAGTTTGACAATACCTGGGTCTGGTGTGATGGTGGGAGTGAGGCTGAAATCTGCAGAGGCTGCAGTTGTTGGTGGACAGTAGTCTGAGTCATTAACTGTTGAGGAGGAAGTGCCTGTGCTGGCACACTGGAAGCTGTCTGGCTGATATTCTGTCCATGGCCCTGTCCATCTTGTCCATGCTGTGAAATGATCTGACCAGAGGGGATATTCTACCAAGCAAAAACACAAACAAAAAGAATGGAGGAACTTCAATGAAGGCAGGGATTACACTTTCATTCCTCAGTTTGCAAATCTGTATTTCCTGCTATTGACCCAGTTCAAAGTAGCTCACATTTTCCATCCTGTCCCTGTGTCTGGAATTGGTCAGAACCTTCTGCACACACTAGAGCACTTTGTACCACAAAACAGAGCAAGCCTAAAAGAGCTGGTGGATACAGCCGCTAAAACCACTGTTATTGTTTTCATTACTGTTTCCATTATCTCTCTGTTGGCTGATGTCCGAGGAAACTCCTCTTTATTGGACTGTTCATTTTTCATTCATCTACTGTCCACCAATGCAGCTGTTTCCAATAGAGCTAAAACAAATCAAAACCAGGCATGATAATATCGGTAGTATGAAAACTACATAGCCATTATTAACTATGGTAACTTGCAGAATTATTTTCTTTGTCCTGCAGTGACATATTCTGTTAAGACAAAGGTGATCTACCTAATTTAGGAAAGCAGTGAAGCGAAGATAAGACAAATTGATGAAAACTAAAGACAGGCTGAGGTCAGAGGAGGGAAAACAAGCAAAATTCATAACTGGGGAACTAAGTTCGCTACACTAGACTATACTGCATGGTGACCATTGACATTTTACACTCACCTGTTGCGTGATATGTGCAGCTTGGCTTTGCTGGGAAGAATTTGGAAGGCTCTGATGAGTCGCTACCCGGCTAGCTCCTCCGTAATTCTCTGGGGCAGCAACAGAATGTGCAGGTAGGTGCCGACTCTGACCTGGAGCAGTCTGATGGTGGGCAGACTGTGCATAGCTCTGAGAGACAGCATCAGGTGGCCCTGCAGCAGGGTAACTCTGATGTTTGGCTGCAATTGGGGTTGCTGTGGGATGGGGCTGATACTGAGATACATCATGACTCTGCTGTGGAATCACTGTCTGCATGGTTGTTTGACTGTGCTGCTGTAGAGGTGGGGTTTGTACTTGTTGCTGTGTAGAACAATGAAAACTTTGAGATTGGATAGTAGGCTGTTGTGCCATTTGTTGGTGTATGGTATGCATGGTTTCTTGGTTATGCTGGAGTTGAGGCTGAATATAAGCCTGAGCAGCATTTTGCACATGTTGTATACTGGATTGCGTGTTTTGTGGTAAGGGCTGTTGGTGTTCTTGCTGAATGGATATTTGCTGACTGTAAAGTGCTGGTGTGGAGGAGCTTTGACCAGGCTGCTGACTGGGCAGTTTGACTGAGGCTTGGACCTGCTGCAGTGCGCTGGGAGCTTGTGCAGGTTGACACTGAATTGTGGCTGCCATATTTGGGGCTACAGATGCAAGAGGGCAGCTTTGTGCTGGCTGCTGTGCTGGCAAGGTGTTTGCTGCATTCTGTTGTTGGACTGATGCAGGATATCCTGATGCAGACTGAGCCTTTTCTTGAGTTAGGGCCACAGAGTTTTGGCAAGTTTGCTGAACTTGCAAAGGAAAAGTCAAAGAGCTTGTGGCTGTTGCCTGCTGCTGTTGGTGGCCTAGTGCTTGATAGCTCTGTGCCACATGTGGCGGCACAGCTGATGCTGCAATACTAGCTGCAGCTTGGGATTGCTGCACACTTTGAGGTGTGTAGCTAACAGCACCGGCTCCGTGCTGGATGTTGACTGAACATAGACTGGCTGGAGCTGGTGTTGCAGCACTGGGTTGACCGGCATATGGAGCAGCAGGGTAGCTGTGTCCAGGTTGGAGGTACTGCGGTGGTGTGTTCACTGCTGTGCTGGAAGAGGGAAGGCCGTGGACAGAGGGTTGATTCTGGTGACCTACAGAACTGGCCTAAGGAAACACATGCGAGAAATTCAAGTTAGTCTCTCTTGGGAGTGAATTTTCTAGTCAATATTAAATCCGCAAAAGATAATAAGCGCGCAAATTACATTAAGTTCTACAGGATGCAAGTATAATAAGAGGATGAGGGATAAAAATAAGTTAATTAAACAACTGTTTCAACAATGAACAGGCATTGACAGGTGTGAGCTAAAATGAGGACACAAAGAGGAAACAGTAGGAGAGACAAAGAGGATGGAAATCAGACAGCCACCACTTCTTCAATTAGAGGCCCTCTACCCTTGGCAAGCGAAGGAGGAAGACAGCTGTTGCACTGGGCTAGTAAAGCAAAGGGAAATGTTAAAATCTAGGTCAGTTGTAGAAGGGATCGGTTAAGGTTAATCAGCAGGGACATGAAGTCTGTTAGAAGTTGCACCATTGTCCTTCGGCACTAGCAAGCTGGTGATTTTAAAGACGGCGGTCAGCGCTGTAGACCTATGAAAGCAGCAAGAGTCAAAAAGTAGACAGGAGATCAGACCAGCCCCATGCAGAATAATGCTATACCTCCTACAGGCTGGAAGAAGTCTGTTAATCAGGTGCTCGCCCCATTACAGGAAACTAAAGCAACTTGTTCACTACTGTGACCTACCACTCCTACAGCCCTGGTAACTTGTTGCTCTGTGGCACAGCATCTGTCCTCACAATCCTGGAGAGATTCTTGGTCCCCAACCAAACTGCCAAACTGGAGAGGACTCTTAAGGCCACAGTCATCATTGCTGCCGGTAGGCCTGTGGGCAGCTGAGGAGTGCAGCAGGGAGGCTTGGGTGGGTGTGGTGTGGCAAGGGGCTGCCTTGCGGCTGATTATATTAAATAGGGACTGCTGCAGCAGTGAGAAATTGGAATCGCTTGAACCTTTTAGGTGTCCTTTTGGATGGTGTCTAAAGTCACAAGGACAGTGGTGTGTTGGCATGACAACAGAAAGGCGGCGATGGCTCCCATCTTGTGACTTCAATAGAAGCAAAGAAAGGCAGGCCTGGCACATGGGGCTTCTATGCATTGCTAAATGGTGGCTATGATGAGAGGTTAGGCTCAAAAGACTACTCAGGTCAGAGTGTCTGCGCCCACCAGCCGCAGGCAGCATTAAATTCTCACTGGTGGCCTCTGATGGTGGTCTGATGCTGGTATCACTAAGACGGCGGTACTCAGAAGGCGAAGATACAGGTGACACTTTCAGCACTGGCAGAGCAATCTGGGCGGGAAACCCATCCGCAGCCTCTGAGTGAAACTTAGTAGGGCTGAGTTCCAACTGGTTCTCTGGTACCGTAGGGGTTGGACTGATTGGTCTCTGAGACTGAATGAGGGCATGGAGTTGAGCAATGTGGTTTGCCCTTTGAGTGTCAATAACAGGGGCGCTTCCTCTCCGGCCTGCAGCTCCCAATTGAGTCCTGAGCCCTGGGCCCAACGTTGTCCCCTGCAATTCACTCTTTCCACAGGAGTGAGGTCGATCTGTCAGACAAGGGCTACTGCTCTGGCACTGACCAAGGAACAACCCAGAAGCAAAATACAAGTTACTCATAATGAACATAACATAACCCCAAAGAAAAGAACTACATGATGAAATGAAGGGAAAACAAACTTGTTTGCATGGGTGCACAAAGACATGAGAAACACATTTGCATGAAATGTGCACAACAGTCTTAAGATTGATGTGCAAATGTCCAAAACATGTGTATGCATGTTTGTAAGCGTGTAATTACAGTGCTTGTGTTCAAGTCTGAGGTCATGTGAGCAATGGCTGGTTTCAACAAGAGTGTGTATTTTATATCTCTGAATGTACATGGTCCACCAGGGTGTTTAAGCTTCTGATACAGACCTGCTGTGTTGCCATAGTAATAGGCTCCAGCAGGGACTGGTAGAGGACACTCTGCTGGCTGCTGTGGGAGTCTGAGTACACAGTGGAGCCCATGCCACTATCAAGTGTGCCGTCTGCTGCAGAAACACAAATCTTGCACTCATAAAAAAGTCCAAGATTAAACCAACGTGTCTTTGAGTGGGCAAGAACAGAATCTCTTACATGTCACTGAGGTGGCACTGGCTGGTAGGTTATGCAGCCTGTTGTGCTGGTCTGCCTCTGGCTCTTCTGGTTCCAGCAAAAGGGGCTGTCCTACATGTGGAGCCCCAGCAGAGGTGCCCTGAGATGGTGTCATCTGGAGCCTGTGTCCTCCCTCACCCCGATCCATTAGAACTGCAGCGGACGCTGTTCTCTCTCTTCTCCATTTGATCAGTGCCACACGATCCCTGATCGACTTTCCCACAGTCTTTGCATCACTCTCGTGGAAGAAGCCAGACTCCACCTGACAAAGAAAAGGGAAGAGCATGACTTCCAGGATATTTTTAGCATTGAGCATGTGAGCAGAGAGAGGGTGCATTAAAAAGGGGAGTGTGTGAGGCAGAGAGAAAGAGCAAGAAAAGGAAGGAACAGAAAATCTATTTTAAGGGGATCAGAGCAGTGGGGAATCATTCCCTTTGTCAGCAGCTTGGTTCACAATAGAACTGTCTGGACCGCTACATCTGCAAATAAAGATAAACACACAATGCATAGAACACCTGGTTATACATGTGAAACTTAAATAAAGACTATATTTTTTCTCAAAGCCTAAACAAATTTTTAACTGACTGTTGATGATGGCCAACTGAGTTGAAGTTGAAGTTAATACTTAAGCAAAACAAGACGAGTAAAGCATTTATTCTGCACATATTATAACTAAACTTATTTAAATAAATCAGTAAAGCAATAGGGCATTATTAGCACAAAAGCCAGACAGAATGGCCAGGGAAAGGAGTCTGGGATTCTCAGTGAAGAAAAATATTACACATCTGACGTTGCCTGTCTGTAGAGGAATAACTCATTAGACTGGATAACAAGTGGCATGGCAGCCAGCGAGGTTGCTGGTCCTGTAATCTCTTTGTGCTATTGGTCCACATCTGCTTTCATCCTAAGGTGATTGTTAGAGAGAGCCTTAATTTTATTTCCAGATTCATAGCATGATCAAGGCCTCACTGGCACAGATAAATTGAGGGGAAGAGAGCAAGGCAAGAAAGGAGGAGAACAGTATGGAAGAGAAAGGGCAACAATGAAAATTAAGACACTGGTTAAAACACTAGGCCAGGCCATGAAAGCTAGACATATCACCGTCACTGGATCAGCTAGCTGAACATCAATCTGAATCTGAGGTAAAACACACCTTACTAAAAATGAGTATGAAGAACCCTCAGCTAAGAGCCTCCAAACATCTGTCTTTCGCTCCTAAATTCAAACGTAGTATACAAGCACGTATTTTTTTAATCTGATATTGCACTAATATCTACATTGCAGATGACCCCGTGTCCTGATGTTACAGGACATAAACGTTTCAAAAAAGCTTTTTTCAATGTAAGCTGTTGAAGGCCATTTTTAATAGTTCAACAAAAAGGACCAACTTAAATAATTTCTCCTGCATTATTCTCACTAAATGTGGGAGAGTTTCAATTAATGTGTACAAGTTTTCGTTTTTCCCAAAACCTGTTCTAGCCTGCCAGAAAGCAAAGCCTAATAATACTAATGTTTACATTCTCCACCTGAAGTTAAGTCAATAGTCTCCTTGCACTGATACCCCTATTAAGGACATTTTTATGATGTTGAAGAATGTTAGATGAACGATATAAAGGCTTGGAGAAGATGTTATCAAGACTCCCACACAGAGAAATGTAATTTTTTTTTCTGGCTGTGTTTTTATTGTTAGGCCTGAGTGCCTTATCTGAGGGGATCCACTGGAGAAACTATGTAAACAAAAGGAAAAAATAAAACTGCAATCACTGTATTCCTGTAACAGCAAGTTAGCATGAGCAATCTTCATTTTAGTATATTCTCAGATCACGACATAAAGGAACTACTAACAATTAGAACACACTAAGGCCAGAGGACACACAAAGTAGAAAAAAACTGTGTACCTAACTTGGGTTAAAACTAAATAATTACAAAAATTATTTCATACATGATGCCCATGTAAAACAAAGAGGTACAGAAGACAAGTGACAGGATTTTAAATCCAGATTTATCTTCAAATATTTGTTCATGTATGAAACCTTCAATTATTCACTCACCATTTCTTGTGCCACAACCTCAGGGACCTCCTTCTCCAGGTCAAACATGAACTCAATGGCTCCACTCTCTTTGTACTTCCCTTTTAACTTCTTGTGGTCTTCTACCCACAGTTTGAGAGCTATCGAGGCCTTTTTCCCATCATCCTCCTCCGCCAACTCCACCCTCACACCCGTGTCCTCAGCAAAGAAAGCATGGTTCAAGAGGTCCTTAATGGTGTACCTAGGAGAAGAAACAGCAAGTTCAGACTCTAGCACAGTGTCACACACACAATGCTGCCATTCATCTGTAATGTCGGTTTACAAATAGCTCTCGCTAGCTATGGTACAATACTCCTGCTATGTTGATAGTGAAGCGATATTTTGGCATAGTCTCACACAGTAATTATGTCATATACGGTCATGCATTACCTGAGATGCCCGGACAGTCACTTACTGAACCTAGTCATGCTTACATTAAAAAAAAAAAAACAACAAAAAAAAAAAACTCTGGAAGCTAATTAAGGTTTATTTTCTCCTCTGTACACAATCTAATTATGTAACAGAATTGAAAGACACCCTGCAGATACAGAGGGAAACTGCAATGCTGCTGAGATCCCAACTGTCAGCGCTGCAGCAATAAAGTGGGGGAGGCGAGACAAGGCACGAAAGATGAGAGGGCACCTTGTGGGCCTTGTTGGCTGGACACTATACAATGATGGGGACAGTCACTCACCGTTCCTCTTTCTTTTGGCAGATACACTCCCCAATGATCTCCTTGATTTCAGGATCCATGACCTTGTTGTAGCTGGCTGGCTTCACTCCCTGAGGAAAGGGAAATACAAACAAAACATTGTCGACATGCAATCAAAGGATGCTGTGTTGATGAGAAATAATGACAAAGGAAAAACAGAGGAAAGAGCATGTGGGGATGTTGTTTGTGGTATTCTGACTGTTTAGAACATCTTGAGTATTCACAGTAGGAGTGGGAGTGGTTTAGGAAGTTTGTGAGGGTTTGATACTCAAAAGACATGGCTGATTGTTACTTTTAAAATGACGAAATATTTGCTCAACACTCACAGTCCTGAGTAGGTCTATTGTTTTGCAGGTGCAGCAGTATGTGTGGTGTATATAAAACCTGTGAAATCATTAATTCCTGCATAAAGATATTTTCTGCATCAAAGATATACATGTAAAGTCTGTGCATGTGCTGGAATAACATGCTTACCAATTATGCAGCTGAATGCTGTATCCATTCAGGGCATAAACACATAGTATAATGCTATCAGGGTTTCTCTTTGATCAATTGCCTCTTAATATCCCACAGTGGTCCCTGCAGGACACTAATATGAATACAGTAACAATGCAGAAAACGGTATCTAGAGACAGCTGCACTGATGCTGCCCAACCATTAATATGTGCACAGAAGCTCTCCCTCCTTTAACAGCAGGTGAAAGAGTTATCTCTTAGTTTCCAACCCTGCCAAGACTCAATAGTGGAAAATCAATAGTCTTCATCAAATCAGGAAGTCTACCACGACTTTAGACACCCCCTAATTTGACAAGAGTTTGCAGTATTTTTTGCTAGTAGAGGAAAGCAAACTGAAATAAAAGCAAATACAGCCTTTAGGCTTTATTTAATAAACACAAAAGAGATTTGGACTCCCTCTGTGACTCCGTATGGCTCATTACATTTTTCACCCAAATTTAAGACTGAGGATCCGTCTACCTGAAGACAGTACAGATCTTGTACTCTGAACAACTCTCCAGACTTATTTTATTCTGACACTGCTAAAAAAAACAAAAACAAACATGTCTTTGACCTTGCTATTTCCAATTGTACAGGTTTGTGAAGCATGACTGTGAAATATTACAAAATGAATGCTACCAGCAGGGTCTCTTTGCAAAGGCAGTGGAATAATCAAGCATTTGTGCTAACGCTTCTCGAAACAAAATCACATATAGCTCATTTGGACTGCTAAAGGAATTATCATTTTCAAAAGTATTGCTATATAAATATACTAATTTCTTTGTTCAAATTATCAGCACATTCCATCCATCCATTATCTATACACCGCTTAACCCTCATTTGGGTCGGAGGGGGGGGCTGGAGTCTATCCCAGCTGACTTAGGGCGAAGGCAGGGGACACCCTGGACAGGTCGCCAGTCTATTGCAGGGCTACACTTAAAGACAGACAACCAAGCACACTCACATTTACACCTACGGACAATTTAGAATCACCAATTAACCTCAACATGTTTTTGTACTTGTGGGAGGAAACCGGAGAACCCGGAGAGAACCCACACTGCACGGGGAGAACATGCAAACTCCACGCAGAAAGATTCCAACGCGAACCGGCAACCTTCTTGCTGTGAGGCAACAGTGCTAACCAACTGCGCCACCTTGCAGCCCTATCATCCATCCATCCAATATCTATACATCGCTTAATCCTCACTAGGGTTGCGGGGGGGCTGGAGCCTATCCCAACCGACTTAGGGCGAAGGCAGGGCAGCCCTATCAGCACATTCATTATGTCAAATTTGTTGCAATGTGCAATTAGTGGAGCCCCCTTTTGTTTGCATAGCTATACTCTTAGAAATTGAAGGAGTCATCGGATTTTCAACTTTCCGAAAGCTCTTGAACTAAAAATGTGTGATTTTTGCTTTCATCGAACAAATCTAATCTAAGTTTATAATTGCACCATTTATCAAAATTACTTTATTCTGCAGGTCTCATTTTAAACTTCACCAATACAAACTGTATGCATTAACCTGAACTACAAGTTTCACACTTCTCGCACAACCAAGAAGCCATGACTGACTCCACTACCGCCAAGAGTAAAAATGTGACAGGAGTTAAGAAATGCTCACAAACTGCTTGGGACTCAGAGAGTTAATATAAAAAAGTCAGAGGACCTAATCTACGATTTTCTTTTTCCCTTATCTATTTAAACATAAACATTTTGACATTTTTCATATTAAAACCTTTTTTTTTTTTTTTACTAAGTATGTCATTTTGGGAGAACAATAAACTAATGCACACTGGATGCAACCTGGTCGCCCAATGGTTACAGAGCTTGCCACAGCACTGGAGTGTCCCTTGTTTATTTCCAGCCAAAGCCATTTGTTGAATACTAAAGCCCTTCTCTCTCCCCCCTTCTTTCCTGTGTACCTTCCCACAGATGACTGGTCCTAAGCTGCCTGTTTCTGCAGGAAATTAATGTAAAATTGTACAGTATGACTCACACTCGTAACTTTACGATAAATCTGAGCAGCATTCTGACACTCAGAGTACGGATATTCTGAGGTGGCCATCTCTAGCATACACATGCCAAAGGCGTAGACATCCACAGCCTCATCGTAGTGCTCCTCGTACATCTCTGGAGCCATGAACTCCGGAGTGCCTGCAGACAGAGTGCGCAATGAAGATGTCACTACTTCTTTGCTGTATGAACAATAAATCTAACAATACACATGTTAAAGTCTCCTACCTATGACGCTCTTAGCAAAAGACGCTGCCTTGAGTGTTGCTAGTCCTAAATCCCCTATCTTCACTGATCCTGTAGGTCCAGTAATAAAGATGTTATCACATTTGAGATCTCTATGGATGATTGGTGGAGTCCTGGTGTGAAGAAAGTGGAGGCCTTTCAGGATCTGTCTGCACCAGCTCCTCAACACCTTGGGCTTCATTACCTTGAACCGCTTCAGATAGCTGTATGAAGGGAAGGGGAACATGTTACATGACAATTAAGAGTTGCAAAATACAAAGCTAAGTGGTAAGTTCACTTTAACTCACTTTAAAAGTCCTATACGTCAGAAATGCTATCTCAAAAATATCCGCATTCACCAATACTCACGTTTTTAGCGTTCCTGAAGTCATGAGCTCTGTTACTAAAACAATGCACTTCTTTCCTTTAAGAGGTGACTCCCAGAAATCATAGAAACGAACAATGTTGGGATGTTGAAGACCCTTTAACATCTCTGCCTCCTCTTTAAAGCGCTGGCGTTCCACTTTTGACAGCTTACGGTCCTAAAAGAAATGACAGATGAAGAAATAATGAATGTGAAGTCCTAATAATAGGTACTTAGATTTGCTTCACAAGAACCGCCAGATGGAAGAGCCTGTCGCCTTTCCGGCACATTGTAAATTCATGCATCCAGTATGCTTTAGCAAGACAGAGGGAGTGAGAAGGAGGTTAGTGTCAGTCTTTCAGCCATATACACATCTCTAATTAGACCATATGCACATCAAAGCTGATGACTGTCCATAGTGTGCATCTGTGTGGGAAAAAATACAGATCATTGGCTTTCTGAAGCAGTAGGAAGATTCTATTATAATATTTTCCTTGTGGATGATATTTAAAGTATACAAGTATTTAAAGTGTAATACATTCAGACGTGACTTCTCACTTGTTAGCTTTAATTCCAGAAACACTGAGGATGTGTGAAGAAAAAAAAAAAGAAAAAAAAAGACGGGTGACAAACCACAGCCAGGGAGAAGGAACCCAGGCATTAACATGGTCACACCCACAACAAGCTGCAGCTAAAGGTTATGTGTCATCGATCTCGTCTATCTTTCTCAATCTCCTTCATTTGCTTGCTCACTCTCTCACACACTACCTTTTGCTCCTTTCTCCCATCCCCCCACATCTGCAATCCATCTCTTTCTCTGCACCCCTCACACCAACCACTCCCTTCTTCATCACCCAACATCCCCCACATACGCAAAAACATCTTTGGCAACTGCTCCCTCTGAACCCCTTCCCTCTCCAATTCTTTGTAAGACCGACCTCACTGTGGCAACACCTTGCTTTAGCTCGTGACTTCTTTCCAGCGATTCTTCCTTTAGACCACCACATGGACAACTTACATAACATGCATACTCAACACTTGCTAGAAGCAAGACCCCACCCCTCTCAGAGATGGACGACGCTGACGGTGCAATGCAATAAACACGACCTAGCGGCATCTGATCTATTCAATTATTCAACCAGAGTTAACGCCCCCTGAGATGAAACTCAAACACAACATCACCCCAAATAACCTAAAAATTAACAATGAAGTAAGACATGTTGTGATGCAATGTGTTAAGGAGTGGAGTGATATGATGATAAAGCATGGTGTGCATGTGTGTGAGAATGTAGCATATCAGGTTTTGTGTGCAAGTGTGTGGGGGGTGGGGATTTTCACTGCACTCTTCTGAAGTCCCATGAATAATTCAGTTCTGCAGAGAACTCTTTCTACTGAGGCGAGCTGAGCAATGGAAGGCAGGGGCTGCCTAAGTTGGGCTGGGTTATCCCCAAGTGCTCTTTGTTGCACCGAAGCAGCACGTGGTCTGAAGTTTACCTGAAACGCTGGTCTAAAGAGAGCAACACTGAGGAATGAAATAGACAGCTTAAAGGATTTTTAACCAATCAGCATTGCAGCTTTTCTCCCTTTAGGCAATACTCTCTTCCCCACATTACCCCCTTTTTCTTTCATACTCCCTCCCCTCATCATCTCTCTGCTCTCATCTTTCAGGAATCCTGCTGCTTTTTCTAAATAACCCCCAACTCAGTGTTCCCCAAGTCCCAATCACATTCCCCACATACCCCTCCATTGCTCCTCCACTTCTGCTTCCCTCTTTGCAGACATTGGGGCTTCTGCATAATTCAGAAGCCCCATGTAGGCTTGGAGGTGTTGTTCACTGCATGGCAAGACACATATGCACACTGAGGTACTAGAAGAATGTCACTCCCATGACACACATGCAAACATACACAGGGATAAACGTCAACACATGAAACTCAGTTTCTTTTTAGTTACTGTGAGAGCTCTTAACAAGTGTGACCAACTAAATTACATTTACAATCCAAACTGTGTACCAAACAAATCATCTACAGTTTGTGTGCATGTATGAGCATTTAGTGGGCATGTAATCTTATCAAGCTTCTGCTCTACATGCTAAAGAAAAGACACACACACACACACAGGACAGAAAAATAGATTGTGACATTACCGGGGAACAATCTTTGAAGCTGTGTTGCACATACTGCCACCCCCTACATCTGTGCGTTCAACTCTATTAGTTCCGCAGCTCTGGTAGTTCATACAGGACCACAGACACATGCGAAAGATGCCAAGACAGTGGACCTCTGGGCTTTGGAGGGACCAGGTAATAGATTAAAATATTAGTCCTGGGAACTGCAGGCTAATATACCATGTAATTGCAGAACTATGTGTTAAAATCAAATCCTGCCATAATGTCACATGTTGCCTTTACTGCATACTGTCAATGTAAAAACAGAATAAGTATCCTTGTTGTGAAGAGATAACCATCATTCCAAGTGTTTTACCTGAGGATCTAGCGGTAAATACATATTATATAAAAAGCTTTAGCTGTTTGACATAACTCTGAACACTGCCCTACTTTGGATCTTGAGTTACACTGAGGCCATCTATGCTACAGAATGTACAGTATGCACTGGCAGATGCTATCACTCCAATTAGCTTACAGTGCAAGGAAAATGGATATTTTGCATATATGTGTAGAATGTCATGTACTGAAATCTATCTGGCCACTTGATAAGGCACTGTCATTGCAACATACTAGACAAAGACAATGACAAGCCTTTGATATTGTAACAGCTCTGACTGACAACTGACGTGGCCCTGCTTAAGAAACTAAAAACTGGAAGTAAACCTCATCAATGTAATCACTGTCGTTAATCAAATTTCTTCATTGCCCCCTCAAACTTGTACTAAAAAGAAGGAAGAAAAACATGTAACTCAACAAATCTGTCAAACAATGAACATCCTTCATGTGAAATTAGTTCCGAAAGACCCTGCTCTCCAACACACACTAGTACTGGGCTAACGGTAAAAAGCTCTGCAAGTTTGTCAAGGGATTTATCATTAAATTAGAATTTCTGCAGTCTACATAAGTAAAAAAAAAAAAACAAAAAAAACAAAAAAAAACTTTTATGCTCTTAAAGTACCCCAAATACTGATGTGATCTTTTGCCATCAAATCAAACATTGACGACTGAAGACGCAAACGCTAATTGTTTTTGAGTGAGTGCAATCTGACCATGTGAAATCCATATCACATGTATTTGCCAAATCCCTTTAGCTTTATTAAAGCCAGCAATCATGTGTGTGCCTTTTTCTTCCATGAGTCATGCATAATTCTAGATCTTCATTTTGCTAACTTCACATGAGAAATTTTCTTCCACCCATCAGCAATCAGATTGTCCGTCACCAATCACAATGATACTAATGCACACAAGATTAGCCAACTGTAGTACGAACATATGATGCAGGTTTAATTTTGTGTAGATGGTGGATAAAAAAAAAAACTTGTTACTTAACAGAACAACATGACTAATCTTTCTCGCAGTAACTACACTTTTGCTGGATTTGGAAAAAAGGTTGTGAAGCATCACAGGGATTGAAGAGGCACAAACTCTATCTAATGATTAGTCACTAACAGAACCAAACTGCTCTTCGTAAAGAGGCTGTGGTGCTGCAGAGTGTTAATTTCTCTGGGGCACCAATCTAAAGCCATTTTTTCATATAAACTCTAGATATTGTCTGGAGTTTTCCTTTGACACGAAGTAGCACACAACAGGATACTGTCTGAGTCAGAGACATTGTAACTACTGGAAATATTCTGTTTGGTTGAGCTGCAGAGTGGCACCTAGGAAGTGCATGAAAGACATGAGCTGATTTGTAATTTGGTTGTGAACGCCTAAGTCTCTGGCCATTTTTTTAATTTATCTGGCATTATCAACAAGTTCCCGATTCATGTTGTCTCATCAATTACACATTTTTTGTAGTCTTCGTGTAACTAACCCTTCTGTCTAACCTTTAGATATTTGTATTTTCTTGATGATAGAAATGTCATCCGCACACCCACACGCTTACTGTGAATATTACGTACAATGACCTGCTCTATTCACACACTGGTTCAATCGGACATTATTCAGACTTTGTGCGAGACATGACAAAGTCCTATAAACGTCCACTCCACCGGATTCAGACATTTACATTTTAACAAATTCTTCTGGATAATGTCTTGATAAGTTTAGGGAAGAAGTGCATGTGTCAAAACAGCTGACAGATTTGCATGCACTTTGGTGCACAACACAGGCGCACAGTGAACGAGAGATGCTGATGCTGTTCTCAAACAGGAAAACTTATTGAAAACACACATTCTGAAGTTTAAAACTACCATCATTTTTAGCAAACAGTTTTTGCATTTAAAAATGCTAAAGAAAACAAGAGAAAAAATCATCCAAATGTTTTGCATATATTTGCATCATCTGTCCCCTAGGCACCAGCCCCCTTGACAGGCCCCAAAGTTGTCTGGGATTAGATTTCTATTTTCAACTTCAGACAAGTCCCATCTTTCATGAAATGCTACAGTTTACACACAACTAAGTGCCGCTGAATGTACAAAAGAGCAAAGCAACAGTGGCAAAGAACATAGGCAAAGACAACTAATAAGAAATGTTACTCTTAATAAGCTGCCAGTTGAATTCAGCATCTCAATGGTCAAGCTTGGAAAAAGGTGGACTAATTTAGTGGTCCGTATTCTAACAGTACCCCTAGTGAGACAAAGTCCAAGAGTTCTTGATTAATATCAAAATATCTCAGATCAGTGAACCAGTGTGATCCACATTCAGGGGGAACTAAATGTATTATAAGTGGAACAAGTTTCAGCATTACCGCTGATTATATCAGCTAAATTACACACCGTGTCGAATTGGTCCTTCTCAACAACTTTGTGTTCCTAATTGCAATTTCCTCGTTCCCTCATTAACTTGGCCTCATCTTGATCCTTCGTTAACAAGGAGCAGATTAACAACATTTGGACTTAGTAACAATAGTGTGACAAGGATTTGAATTAAACAACTTGTCAACAACTTATGCTTATGCTATAAATCTAGACAGCTATAGCCAACATACTCCGTGTGTCACAACTTTTGGCTAAGAGGATTAAAAATATTTCACCTCAGGAAGTACAGTTCTTGTAAAATAAGCTAAACTC